CTCACAGCCGCCGCAGTCGCGATCGTGGTCGTGGTCGTGGTCGTGGTCGTGGCGGCGGCGGTGGGGGAGCGCTGTGGCTGTAGGGACGGTTGCATGTGCTGCTGATTGAGGCCAAGGGACGGGCTGCCAACAGCAGTACCATCCTCATCTCCGTCATCGTCATCCACAACACCACGGTCGTCGTTGCCATGGCTGACGCGAGTGGCACCACCATCACCACCACCACTGCCACCATCACGGGCCGGTGTGTCGCCTTCGGCGGTGATGACGGTGTTCTGCAATCGCCAAGCCTCGTGCAGCCGCTGCCGGCACGTTTGCAGCGCATCGGCCATCTCCCACTGGCGCTCCACGTCCTCCAGCACGGACGGGCTGTGCTGCCTGCGCCCCATCCGCCAGCGGTCCCGCACCGCCCTCACGCGCCGCGCCATCCGATTGTTGTTGACCTCCGCGGTCGCGGTTGCCACCTTGTACTTGGCGAGATCGTGCGTTGTGACGCCGTGCTCGCGCAGGAAGCGCTTGAGCACCTCCTCTGCGCGCTGCTGCCCGCGCTGGGCCTGCTGCAGCGAGTGTTGTGCCCGCGACCGCTGCTCCCGCAGCCGGCGGACGTCCTCAAACAGGAGCTGCGCCTCCATGCGCCGGTTCTCTGCACACGCGCACCGCGGGCGCTCGTCCCCGCACACGTAGCAGAAGCGCGTGCCGCACGTGCACACAATCTCGTTGCAGCCGCCGTCCTTGGCCACCAGGACATGGCACGTCGGGCACTCGCGCGTGAGATCGCCAAGCGCAGCGCCGTCAGCACGTGCGCGCTGGCGGTAGTCTGTCGTCAGCAACTCCCTGTACCGCCGCTCCTCGCTGGGGGCAAGGCGCGCCACATCCCGCGTGGTCAGGTTGGTGTGACACTCGGGCTGCGGGCACACGATGATGCGCATCCCCTCGCTGATCTTAGTCTGGATGTACTGGCGCATGCAGTCTGTGCAGAAGCGGTGGCCGCAGGACCGCGTCTGGAAGCTCTCCGTGCGCTGCGGCTCCACCGTCCGCACCAGCGTCGTCTCCGTGTAGCAGATGTTGCACGTCCGGCTCACGGGGCCTGAGCATACGCAGCAGGAGGGGAGGGTTGTGTGATTGTGTATGTGAGTGTGTGCGAGTGTGTGTTGGGGGTGAGTGTGTGCATGTGTGTTGGGTGAGTGTGTGCACGTGTGTTGGGTGAGTGTGTGCATGTGTGTCGGGTGAGTGAGGAAGCGTGCGTATGAGAACATTCGTTGGCTCGCTACGACAACAAACCTTGTGGCATGTCTTGGCCGAGGTTGAGACTGGCTGCTGAAGCTCGCCAGGGTGCACCGGCGTAAGGGTAATAATTGGCTGTGTTGGGTGTATGCCTTGTCGTCGAAGGGGGCCAATGCAACATCGGTGCGGGCGCTGATGTGCTTGCCGAGGTCGCTGACATGCCTGTTGTCATGGGCATTGGGCTTGTAGTCGGCAGTGGCGAGCCATAATAATTGTACCGCGAATAGATGGATGATGTCATGGTCGATTGCGGCAAGGGGTCCAAGGGAAGAAAAGGGGGCGGCCCCAAGGGACTTATTACCGCCCGCTCAAGTGGCGTCAGTGCTCGTTCTTCACGTGAGCTCGGTATTGTTGGCTGAGTTGCTGGCGGCGGTGGTGGGAGAAACATTTGAAACGGGTTCGATGGCGGTGGTGGTGCCGGTTGAGGCAGCGGTGGGAAGAACCACAATGGGTTATCAAGGACATTGGGGGTTGTGGAGGACATTCCTTGCTGCTGTTGCTGTTGTTGTTGTTGTTGTTGTTGTTGTTGTTGTTGTTGTTGTTGTTGTTGTTGTTGTTGTTGTTGTTGTTGTTGTTGTTGTTGTTGTTGTTGTTGTTGTTGTTGTTGTTGTTGTTGTTGTTGTTGTTGTTGTTGTTGTTGTTGTTGTTGTTGTTGTTGTTGTTGTTGTTGTTGTTGTTGTTGTTGTTGTTGTTGTTGTTGAGACGCTTCGCGCTGCTGCTCTGGCATGTTGGGGTTTGTCGGTCGTGGGTCCAATGGGTCGATAGGCGGGTCAACTGCGAATATCCAATCCATGGTGGTGGTGCATTTGGGGCCAAGGCAGCAGTGCTCTGTGGAGGGAGGGCTCAAAGGCTTTTGGAGAACAGAGGCAAGAGATCAAAGATGAGGAAGAAAGAAAGAGAGCAACAAGAGAAAGGGTTGATCAAAGGCGACTAGGCCGGCCGGATTGGCTTCAACCCAAAAAGGGGGTGGCTAGGAGTGGAAGGTTGCGGATCGATGGGAAAGAGGTGGTGTCGGCGGAAAAGTTAATGGCCTCTGGTCTCTCCCCAACCATAGAAGAAGAACAGGAGAAACAAAAACGGTGAGTCCCTTTGTCTCACAGTCGCGACAAGAGGAACTGTGGTCGACCGCACGCACGCGATGTCGATGTGTCCGCAGTGCTCTGGTGAGAATGACAGGGATTTGATGTGTCCGCACTGTCGGATTGCTTATCAGAGA